GTACCAGTCCTGCCAATCGCATTGCAGGCTAGTATGCTATCCCCGAAAGTGTGGGTATGCAAAGTCGGACTGGTTGTTTAGTTCAGTATTGGATTTCGATTTCGTTAGTAGTTCGTGGTAACGTACTATCAGTTTCTCGCGTGAGTCTAATATATAGTTCTACAAGTGTACACTGGATATCAACGTGGTAGGTTCAGACTTTTTAGGTTGGGTTGTAAAGTGATTTTAAAACCAACGCCTTCCAATCATTTTCGGCCTCGGCCTCCTCAAGCTTGCAAGTGCGACAGCCTTCAAGAACTGCTATGCTGGGTCAGTCTACCCATGAGCTTGGGATCTTGTCTAACGTTAGGATTTTCACAAGTGCACCACTGGGCAATTCGAAGAAGGGACTCGGGGACTAAGCCTTTCTATGATGAAACTTATGCACGCGGTGGAAGGGGATACGGTAGCAATATATAGCGGTGTCGAATGCTACGCACTGGTTGCTTGCCCAATATGACGCTTCCGGAAGGTGCATTATTAGGTCTGATCACAGGTGGCTCATTCAGAGATACTGTAGGCTGGGTGGTTGGTGGCTGAATTTCGGGCTCTTGAGGTTCGTCACGGCCGTGATACAGGATACCGAGGGGGATGTGAAACCTAGTCCTCAGCGGGAGATGACGAAACGAGAACGGCGTTCACACCTCCTGGTTGGCTGCATTTCGAGAATACCACGACGGTACTCATGTACCTTATTTATTAAAAGCGGCTGACATACATAGTGGATCCCAATTGCGAGCTCCGTGCGAGGCCTTGCTCGATATTAATTACCTTCCTTCTTAAACCTACGATGAAAGGTTGCTGGGATACAATTTTGGTTCCAGTTATGTACAGTTCCGAGGTATTAAATTTGAAGCTAGGTGGTCTTATTACAATCAAGATTATGAAAATCTGAACGGGCTATCGTAACAAACAACTGGCCGCTTCCTGACGGCTCGAAGCTGCGTGTTACCAACTCAATCATTTGCAAATTGCCTTTTTCCATCGATAATGCATGTTTAGCAATCGTGAGTTATCCTTGTCATTGGCAAACACCGGCACCGGAATCTCTAGGGATTATGTGCTCTAAAGCCATGCTTATATAAGCACGAGGCAGGTAGCAAAAGGGGTGACTTCCACTTCCCCTTTTCCCTCTCCATAGAGAAAGCAAACCTCATTTGGGACCTGCAGCGGACCGGTTCGTAGCCTCGCTAGTAACAATCTTGTCGGTCCGCTATCGCCAACAGCCTATGCCCTCTACTTAACATTGTACTATCAATGTGGTTAACGAAGGTTTCACAGAAACTTCCATTATCGCTAATATACGCCGTGGACGAATCAATAGCCGAAGACAGTGTATGATAATAATCTTTATACTCCCCATTGTTGAACATGACCATCTGTTCACCGGAAGGGTGATGCGCTTTGAACTGTAAGCTTCGTGGGACCTCATTGATATTACCATATCCGGTAATTTCCAATGTAATTCAGATGGCGAACAATGAATGATTCACTGGCACATAGTCAAGCTTATGTAGCGAGTTTTGAATTAATCAATGTTGGTAGAGGTAGCTTTGCATTGTGCGGACTGTATAGCCAGCCCTCGAAAGCTATATTTGATCTGTGACAACTTGAATTACCCAGAGTGAAATAACTACTGGTGGAAAGATCGCATACTTGGAACCCCACGAAAACAGTAGAACCGAACTGGGTGCTCACAACGTCCACGATAACCAAGCGAACGCGGTTATCGGCAACAAAGACTCCAGCTCGTTCATTGGTCCTTCGGGCAGTAGCCCCTTCACGGTGCGTCCCGCCTTCGACCTGTTGTCAGGCAACCGTGCCGCTCCTGGAACACCCATAGGTACCAAGTATCGCACAGCTTATGACATGGAGAGCATTAGAACCGCCGAGCCTTCCCATTCACGCGCGCCATTTACTGGCAAATTGTTGGGGACCCAGTCCAGATTCAATCCGTTTCCGAGGGGCCCCAGAACGACTGGCCTACAAGCGAGTAACACAGATCGCGGCGTCAACGTTAAAGAAGGGTATCTCTTCGGCCGGAACGAATGCCCTCCTAGGGCCGACCTTGACAACGTCCGGGGGACCGAGTCTAGCTCACCTCGTGGCTCCAATACGGTGGAGCCAGGCAGTCCCCAAGGCCGCCCTGGAAGCGATGCCACGAGACCATTACTTGGCAAAGCCGACGATCCACCAAGCCCACCACGCAATCCCATACCGAAATCCCAGCCTAGGATATTTCTGTTGGAGTTGAAGTTTTCAGCGACCCATAATACAGATGGTGCCATGGAACATCCTCAGCAACACGTCACACCTGCTTTTAGATCTCGGCGAGACACAAGTGATGAAAATAGGTCTGAGATTCCTAGGCCCGTCTTCAGGCAGGGTAATATGACCACGGTCACAAACCCACGACCAGCATCTCCCCTACCTTTGCGATCCATATGGGGACCCAGACATGGAGATAGACATCGATTGGGCGGGTCCAAGACAAGCCAGAACGAACACTTCACGATTAGAAAAGGCAGCTTGGCCCCTTCGAAATTAATCTAGGACTGTTATTGCTTGTGCTACCGTTTCTTGCCTTGATACTATCAGTGGCTGCGTCTTACGTCGCAGCTTGGTGGATTTGGTTCAAGACGGCATGGTAGATAGTAGTTGTTTGTGTTTTCTGAGTACGTCCAAAATAAATTTTGTTTTTCTCGGCCACATACATCGAACCCATTCATTACCGACCTCTTGTTAACCTCGCTATAACGAAAATAGAAAGCGGGGGCTGTTCGAGGTTATCGAGTACAATTATAATGGGTTATATACGGACAATATTGTTCGCGACAGTAGAATCGATTGAGAGCATTGTCAACTTGGTTTGAAGTCCAGATCCATACAAAACTTCATTTCTACCTGTGCGGGAGAAGCTTGGATACAGAACATTCAATGGCCTATGTCTCGAAATGTCGGAAGGAGCGTACCATTGTGGGCTGCCTCCTGAATCAAACAGAGGATAGGGTGACTGGATAAGGCATTTTTTGAAAATTAAATGCCCGCGTGATTCACTTGGGTTCTGGCTATCACTGTTCTCGAAAACATGTGCAGAATCAGCACACTGTGACCCCCCCCCCCCCCCCCCCTCCCACCCCCCCACCCATTCCTTGGATGGCAAGCGATATTGCAGCGGCTTCACATCCAGTAGCGACAGGACCAAAGTGGCTGAGAGATTCCATCGGGTATCCACAATCTTGTGGTGTCCTGTGGATTGGGGCAGACTATCATCTGACGGATGATTACTCGCATGTTTGGTGGAGCCAATGTTTTTAAAATTGGCCACCATTCTGGCTTCTTTTGAACTCCGCTCTGACGGGTTCTGGCGCATGGTCATGGGGATAGAGACGCCTGGGCGGCACGAAGACTTGAAAGCACTGTTCAATCATTGCCGGAACACCTGTGGCAGCTTGGTGGTTTTGCGTCCTCGTCACAAACGGCACATCCTCCGATACCTCAGGTTTAAGTCTAGCAATTGCGTGCCTGGGGCCCATTTCTTCATCCCAGCAGTTCTTTCACCTGCGAGTCTCGCCGATGTGACTGAGTCTTGTCTGTTGAAATTTCTGGGGACAGTCAAAATTGTTCCTCTGCATGACGATATCGCAGGTTGTGGCAAACACTACCGCGTCAAATTTGGCAAGAAGATAGAGCTCGCAAAAACTGTCAGGGAGAGGACTATAAGGCATATGTTTTTCCTCGCAGTCGGTTCACTTCGCCACGCGTCACTGTGCGACGCTCAGCCATTATTGGAGACTGGCATATGTTTTTCCTCGCAGTCGGTTCACTTCGCCACGCGTCACTGTGCGACGCTCAGCCATTATTGGAGACTGGCAAATGGGAAAGCGCGAGTAGTCCCCTGGCCAGTGCGTGACCGGTATTTATGATCAGAGCCCAATAGCTGCGATGTACATGTATGTACTGGCAAAGGTGGACAATAGACATTGTAAGTGTTGCGCAGTGTGGCAATACTTCTATTGGTGATAGAAGCACGTGCCTAATGCCGGTATATACGTTAGTATATAATGACCAATGAACCTTGACGGAGACACTAGGCTCGCGAACGGTGTAATTGTTTCAGAGAGCCCGGAGGCCTCAGTCGAAGAGGCTTTTACTAGACAGAACCTCCTAAAATAAAAATGGACTACATTCCTTAGATGCCAACATTCTAGACAAGGGATTGTCATTTGTTCATCCGACAATTGATACTTGTAAGACATATTGCGTATGCTGCAAATGTTAGCTCGGGTCCTTCGTGTGGCCAGAATGTTCTTCTCTTGTAGCTGTCTATTGCCCACTGGGTTTATTGCGTAATCTGTCTCCCGTGTGCCTATCACGCAGTTCTAGATCATGACAACCATTACTTGTGCACTCTCACTCGACAGGGAAGACAAATTATCGTAACTTTGGATATAGCTAAGAGCTAGCTGAAAGTTTGGCTCAAACAGCGTTCTCTCAAGTTTCACTAACCCCGTGCTTCCAAGGTGGTAGAGGTCTGGAGGGTCACTAGAGAATGCATCTCCTCCGCCTTATTTCATTGCTGCATCTGTGTAAGAGCATACATGTTTTGGTAACTTGTACTGTTAAGCGGTAAGTTCTCAAAATTATGCACGCGCAAGTGTGGGATAACATTGTGTTGGGTTCGATTCGGTTCCCATACAATGCCAACATCGGGGTTTTGCCAGTGTAAAATGTGTATTGTCACCCATCACATATCATTTCTTCTGTGTGCTGGTCACGGATTTTCCGGAGTTTATGCCTACTATGGTAACAAAAACAATCAGTCTTATAAGCTCTACATTCGACCTTCCTTGTAATGAAGATTTGGTAACGCAGTTCAACCATCTATCCGCCCACGCCAGCGTGGCAGTAGTACAAAGAAGCCCGCCAAATAGGGATAATAGGCATGCCAAAAATGAATCTTATAGCTCAAACAGCTGGCCCCAGCCTTCTATTGCTCCTTTTTGCCAGCCTTTCAGTCTCAACATATCCCAGACGACAGTTGACACAGTATCAAGTACAGGAATACCATGCTCACGCTCCCAGACGGCCACACGTTGGGCTGCCACGAGATTCGTGCAGAATGTTGATATTGCCTGTACTTCTCCTTCACCTTTCTTCAACACGGAAATGATCTGCCGATCAAGGGTAGCCTCGTCAATCTCTGCGATCTTCACGTTTTCGGATATGCCCAGATGACTTTCTGCGACGATGGTGTACCCCGAACTTGCATACACCTTGAGAATGCGTGCTTGCACATCGTCCAGGTAAGGAGTGACCAGGGCAAACTTTTTAGCCCCGAGCATGTCAAGGGCGCGGTTTAGGGCCAGAGTTGAAGTCGTGGCAGGCATCCCAAATTCGGCGGTAATTGCTTGGCACAGTTTGACATCAGATTCAAATCCCAACCAGCCCGCTGAAGTCCCAGACCACCCTATCACATCGACGTGAGCATCGGCGAGAAGTCGAGCAGCTGACATGATCGGCCCATAGGTATCGAATTGGGACAGCGCCGAAGGATCCAAGGAGATACTCGTAACACGGAATCTAGAGAAATGGACCGAGACATTGGGTGCGAGATTTCGTACAATTTCTATAGTCAGCGGCTCCAACGCCGTGTTTGACGAGGGAACCAGTATTCCGAGCCGGAGTGGTCTAAAAGGCATATTGGGCAGTGGTGGTGCGTGAGGGTACGTAAGAGCACAGCCAATCAATATCACGAGACTCTACTTACTCCCAGCAGCAAGTTCTACCCCTCTTCAGAAATTGAGGTAATGAGACCTTCGGAGGTTCCGGTCGGATGCCACTTCAGGGTCAGCCAATCAGCAAGCGCTGATCACTTCACCGTGGTTGTATGTGGTAGACCTTACGCCGCAATTCACCCGCTGACACTATGGAGGGCTGTTTGAGACCCAGACCAGTTTGCATCAACTTTGGGGCTTGCTCGGGTTGTTGAGAGTACCATCCAATAAGGCCGTATTTGTCACCATCAAAACACTTGTTCATGCTTACATGGCCCAAGATATCGCGTACGGATAACTTCAACACTGGATTTCCGTTTCACATCTCTATGTCACTTTGGCCAACTCTGAAGAAGCAGATGCCCCCAGACCTTCTGGGTTAGACTCCAAGGATATCACAAAGAAGGCCTCCCGACAGGGCGTAAGATGTCTACCGGGGCCCCTCTGTTGGACTTGGTACCTGAGATGGCCATGGGCTCCCGGATAACTTAGAGTATACACGCTGGGCAGTATGACTTGTGTGCTATGGTTGATTGCAAGAAGACGCGGTTGGGGGAAAATGTCAAAAATCCACAAGTGAAGACAGAAGACGAAAAGTACACCTCGAACCCCATATTCAAATGTGGATTAGCATACCGGGCTGCTACTTTTCTCCAGCACTTTTCTTCTCGGTTGAGCTTCTCAGCACATGCTTGAACTTGTCCATTATCGTTGTGGCCTCTCCAGTCGTGCTAGAGTTCTTGCTAAAAGTGCTGCTTCGGCGACGGTTTTGGTTGCTGGTCTGAGGTACGACGTTATCAACCATAGCCTCTGTTCTGGTCCCTGCAACAAAGTGTCCGTCGGTCAGATACTTCCCATAAGAATGGTGTCCAAACAACAAGATATCTCTAGTACTAACTTATGTTTCCGGCACCGCCTATACCAAACGACCTGCGGCGCTCTTCCGCGATGGCTCCGGATTTCATTGAGAGAGAATATGGGCTAGCAAACCTCAAGTTTTGATGAGCCCCTGATTAGATGAATTCTTCGAGCACTCGATGCGAACGATAGGATGTTGCTGGGTGTCGTTGTCGACGCGTTCTTGAGGTAGTCGGTGTCCACGTCGTACGCCGTGCCGAAACTCTGGGGCACCCCCCCTATATGAATCAAATCCCATCGGTTCGGGAAAGGTCTTCATAACTTGGTTTCTACTGGCCGGCGAGATTAACGTAAGGATTTCTATTGGACCCCACGCTTACCTACCGTACACTGTCCTGATCAGCGCTTTCGATATGCAAGGAGTAGGGGCTCTTGCGGATCCCCCGCAAAGCTTGACTCTTCTAGCGTAGCCCCAATCCGATGCAAGCGACATCATCGTGCAGATGCGCAGATAGCGAGGACAAGCTTCACTGGCTGAAATGCATATGCTACGCACTTGCAGACGTCAGGGATAGTTCTCATGACATGGAATGGCGCCTGTTTTCCAGCCATTGGCAAGTAGTACTGGCTTGACGATACCTGCAAGGTGCCCAAGATTCCGTGCTGCTCTTATTGGCTATTGGGCGCCCCCAAGTAGTGTAGTGTGAATTTGAAGCGGTTGACTTAAAAGTTGCTTGGAGTTTCGCACATCTGAAACTTCAAACAGACTGTACGATAGAGGATACTCGTCAATGAAACGTGAAGAGAGTCTTCTAGGACGGTATGCAGAATGTTTATTGAGATCTAGCACAACGTGCAACCTAGGCACACAAGATAGAATGCATGCACGTATGGGTTGGCAACTTGTACTGCTTAGGAGTGGTAGGGCTTCGTCGATGTGGGAAGGAGGAGGACAACACAACGTGCCCTCACGCTGATTACGCCCGAGTCCCGAGTCCTGGGCAAGCGTCCAGCTTGGCTCAAACGGACTTCATATCCGATACCACGCGTCATTTTGTGGTAGCTATCGTGCTCAACGTCTGCCAAATGCCGTGCAAGACCCTTTCATCAGTGGCTCCTAGAGCCCGCGATGCGTAAGCAAGTAAGATCAGCTCTCTTTGGTCTATGCCAATCCCTGTTGATAGCTGCGTAGGCAGTAGTATAGATTGATAAGCTCCTTCTAACGTCTCAGGTCAACACTAGAGCGTGACGCATCCAGGGATGGGCGGAGGGAGCTGCTTGAGCTTTGCCTTCTACGAGCTCGTTGCTCACTGGGATCAGAAGGATGCAAGCCGGTAGTCTTCGCGAACAGGTTCAGTATATCGGTTAGTGTCACAACGCCGGTCAGACGACCTGATAGATGCGCACCGGCCATCGAGGACGCCGGCACTGATGGGAAATGAGTTCCGGTTGTCAAAGACGACTGTGAACTGGAAGTTGAGTTGGGTACCAAAACCGTGGGCCCGAGAAGCGGAGTACTTGGTGCTGAAGGTGAAGGTGATGCTGACTCCACCACCCACATTCGGTGACTTCTCGTTGCAACGAGCTTGGCGACTTTTTTTGATGTCAAATCCGGTCAGTCGGGCATGTAACGGGCATGTATAAAAAGACGTCTAACAAGCTTACCTGTATGAGCTAGAGTGGAGTACGGATTGACGTAGAAGACGGGGAAGGAATCCTTGCCCTTTTCTACTCCCCTCTCATTCAGAATGACGGAAATGAAATGCATACAAGTATTTTGCAGAAGAGGCAAACTTGTGGCACTGGTGAGGAGTCTAACATCCACAGTCGAGATGTTGCCAACCACGTTTCGGCTATTGTCAATGACAGCTATACTTGAGAGCCCCTCGTCGTTCATCAGGCTGAGGGCGTCTGCTAGGGGGCTGTCGGCACTGTGTCTAAAGTCAGCGGAGACGTGCACGAACTGGACAATGACCTCACTTGATGGCAATGATCTGCTGAGATCCTATTCCAAGATCACGCATGAGCCTGGGGTAGAGATCATCAATGACCCTGAAGTTGACACCCTCGTTGTAGAAGAACTCCATGAGTCTGAGTTGACTCAGAACGCCGATGGCATCACCTGCAGGATTGGCGACTAGGACCCTGTGGATCCCACTTCCAAAGACCTCGGTGGCTTTGGCCAGAGCTTCATCGCCCTGCAGAGTCACAAGTGTTTCCTTTCGGCAAATGGGCTGTGAGATCCCAAGTATCAGTCGGGCTTCATCAAGTGTGCGGCAAGCAAACGCGGGAGGGGTCTTGGGCGTTGACGGGGGATGCCAAGGCGACCAAAACCCAGAGCACGGAATGAACCACGGCGACTGACCTGTATATCACGCAGCGGAATGCTCTCGTGCGCCTGGGCCTTCTTGGCAAGAGAGTCGTATAAGGCGACCAGGTCTTCGGGTGGGTGGGCGAGCCCGACGACGACCAGTAGATAGGCATTCAAGTCATTGTGGTCAAAGGTAGATATGGCAGTAGACTCGGTCGAGGTCTCTCGAACGAGAACGACGTTACTTGTGCCGTTCTTGAGCAAGGCCTACGAGGGACAATTAGCCAGACAGTGGGTGATGGCGACACAGACTGGGTCTGCGGTGGATTACGCACCATGGTTGCGTCCTCGACGCTGGTGTCTAAATCGACACATTTCACATCGTCCTGAGAGACAAGTTCCCCGACACTAACGTCACGCCAATCCCTGCCGGTGAAACGAGGATTGAAAGGACGGGTCGCGGGGGGATGGTTCAGCAGGTCTTGGATGGCGGCTTGGGTGAAGGATGGATGGCGCTGGGCTCGCGGAGAGGGCGGCAGACCACGCAGGTTCTCGGCGAAGCTCTGGCGGTGGCTGGCTACGTGACCATGACTGCCGGCCCGATGGATGCTCGACGACGAGTTGGACCGCGAGGGCTGGGCGGGGGGTGAGACGCTCACGTCCTTGGTGGAGTCGGCCGCCGAGCTCGCATGGCCCTTGGAAGAGTCCATGATAACCGACCGACTTGCACGGGCAGCTAATGGCCTGGACGGCCAGGTCTGAATCGCGGAGGGCGAGGGGTGGTGAATAGACAGATGGGCGATGGATGTGGGAGCCGAGGGGGCAGAGAGAGTCACTTGAGGGGGAGGGAACGCTCGGCGGCGGCGTCGGTGGTGGTGGTGGTGGTGGTGGTGTTGTAGTAGTTGAAATGACCACCAGGCAGTTATGTCTCGACTGTCTCGCACGGATTCGTTTGAGTTCTTGACTTTCGAGACCAAGACACGCGACGCAAAACTGCAAGGCGCGAGCACCCCAAACGGGGGCAGGGACTGCTCGGGAGGGGCGGGGAGGAGGTGGAGGCGAAGTGAAGTTGCAGCAATCGGCAGGACGCCTCTCTCTACTCTAGCTAGCTCATACGGCGGGCGTCACAGGGTTCGCGAAGAAGAGCGGTATCGAACCAGCAGTCATCATGTCCGGCCGACGACGATGGGGACGGTATTGTCTTGGGGCAGGCTGGCTGACGTCGTGAATGGTGGTTGGTGGTTGGTTGTCCGTCGCGGCAGCTCAAGGTGAGGGAGGGTCAAGGTAGGGCCTGCGGGGAGGGGACGGAGCTATGGCTCGTTGAACTCGTCACCCTCCGTCATAGGTCCCCAAGTCCCGTCTCGTCCTAGTGCTGTGTCCAGTGACTACCCAGTAACTTTAGTCACCCTATATACCTACTTAGTACGTTACCTAGGTAGGCACCATACTGCATACCATGCTGCATACTCCCGGGCCTACCTGGCAGCCCTGGGGTGCCGACCCGGAGGGTGACCCCTAGCCCCCGGACCAGCAGAAGCGCTGCCACAACCGGGGGGGCAAGCCACAGATGGAGGGGTAATGGGACACGCGCAACCACGGCCATCTGAGGAGTGTCTCCGGCAGTAAGTATGCGACGCGACAAAGTCCTTCAGAGAGGCAGGGTTTGCTGTCACTTGTGTCGGCCGTGCCATGTGGGAGGGAAAGCCCGGGGCGAGGGTTGATAATCCATCCTCATACCATAGTATACTGACGCACAAAATACCGGTTCTGATGAGGCGCGTGTGCTGTTCCTTGCTTGTTGATATGACTTATGGGACATGGATGGGTGCACCTGGACCAGTAGACTATAACAGGGCACCACGCCGTTATAATTGTTTATCTACAATGCATACCAGGCCCAGGCGCGTCGCGAAAGTGGCAAGCACAGGGGAAAAAAATAACTGGTGCCCTATGCTCTCGCGCGTACGTGCGGAAAGCGGACTTTGCGTCACAGCGCAGACGGGGATAAAGGGAAAGGGAAAGAAAGAGAGAGAGGAGAGAGGAGAGAGAGAGAAAGGAACAAAGAAAAGTGGGAGGGCCAGAGTATGCGCGTATTCAACGAGACTTGGAATGCTGCTTGATTGCATGGCCATGATGAGTCTGTTTGTTCTAACACGGCATTTTAAGCTCTGGCGGTCCAAGATTCCAAGTCCGTGTCCATCTCAACCTCCTTATGTAGGTACCGACGGGAGTAACGTCTGAACCGTTGGAGTCGCGAGATCCGCAACCCTACATACCCACAGTAGGTAGTCAGTCTTGTCAGTATAATGGTGAGAAGCAGCCACACTCGTCCGCCCTCACATGGGCTGCTGGCGTGTCGCGGAAGGGGATGGCCTGGGTGCCACCGGATGGACGTCGGGTCGCCGTCACGACCATCTGTTGACAACGTTGGAAGCCATTTATGGTAGATGGACGGATTGATTCCATCGGTTGACTGACTGATTGATGGATGAAGGGATTGTCCCCCGTGTTCTGTGTGCTGTGTGTTGTGTGTGCTGTTGCTGTGCTGGCTCGTTGACATTTGAAATTCTGGACCAGGGCCCCACCCTGCCAGCAGCCCCGACAACAACGGGCGGGCAACGTGTGTGTGTGTGGTTGACAGAAAGCGGCAGCGCGCGACCTTGTCTGCCGCCTGGCATTTTTTTTTTCTTTCTCTCCATTGCTACTATTCTGACGTTTGACCTCTCCTACCCTACCGGCGTTCTTTGGAACCGTCCATCAACGCGCAGAGCCTCCCTGCACACGTTGTCTGCCGACGAGAGGGCCCTTGCGAAAGCACTACGCCGACCCAGAAGAGACTGGGCAGCCCACCCCCCTCCTCGCCTTCCCCCCCGCCTTGTCCCAAGACCCCTAAGAGGAGAGCGACAAAAATAAAACTTGACGACGGATTCCGGCCCCTCCCTCGCAACACTCGCCCTGCCGCCGCACCGCAAGACCATACCCACGAACCCAACTTCCTTCGACACCTGGGCTGGGCCGGCCTCACCACGTCTAGGCATTTCCCCCCAACCGACCGCCCGACCGCGTCACCACGCCCGCCGCGAGTCTGTTGCCCGTCATGTCGATGCTCCCGGCCGAAGTCCACGCAGAGCTGTCCCAGCTGCTGCAGGCCCTGCAGTCCCCCGACAACACCATCCGGTCCCAGGCCGAGGACCACCTGACCAACAACTGGACCGCCACGCGCCCCGATGTCCTGTTGATGGGCCTGGCCGAGCAGCTCGCTGCCGCCACCGATCTTTCGGTATGCCACCCTCCCCCGACCCTGCAGCTCGCGCGCCCCGTCCCTCCTGTGCTGTGCTGTACTGTGCTGTGTCGTCCTGAAGCTCACTCTCTTTCTCTCTCTCTCCTCTAGCTCCGCTCGTTTGCCGCCGTCATCTTCCGCCGCATATCCTCCAAGAGCCGCAAGAATGACAAGGGCGACACGGTCGAGATGTTCGTGTCCCTGGGCCCCGACCAGGCAGGCGTCATTCGCCAGAAGCTGCTGGAGTCCCTGGCCAACGAGACAGACCGCGCCGTGCGGAACAAGATCAGCGATGCCGTGGCCGACGTAGCCAGGCAGTACTCGGAAAACAGTCAGTCCCACACCACACCCGCGAGTCTCCTTGCTGCTTATTGTTGACACCCACTTCTCTATAGACGAGTCCTGGCCCGAGATTCTCGGCGTGCTGTTTAACCTCAGCATGGCTCCCGATGCCGGCAAGCGCGAGACGGCCTACCGCGTCTTTGCCACGACCCCGGGCATCATCGAGAGGCAGCACGAGGGCGCAGTTCTCGAGGCGTTCAACCGCGGATTCAAGGACGACGCCGTTGGTGTCCGCCTCGCCGCCATGGAGGCCTTCGCCTCCTTCTTCCGCAGCTTGAGCAAGAAGGCACAGCCAAAGTACTTCGGCTTATTGCCCGACGTGCTCAACATTCTCCCTCCCATCAAGGATACGCAGGATTCCGACGACCTGAGCAAGGCTCTCCTGGCCCTGATCGACCTTGCCGAGACTTGCCCCAAGATGTTCAAGCCCCTTTTCCACAACCTGGTCATGTTCAGCGTGGGTGTCATTCAGGATAAGGAACTCGACGACATCTGCCGCCAGAACGCCCTCGAGCTCATGGCCACGTTTGCTGATTATGCGCCTTCCATGTGCCGCAAGGACGCTACCTACACAACCGATATGATCACGCAGTGCCTCAGTCTGATGACAGACCTGGGCGAGGACGATGATGATGCCGCCGAGTGGTTGGCATCGGAAGATGTGAGATCCCCGGACCCCCCCTTCTTCGTTGCCTAGCCCGCAGGGCACTGACAGACTCGACAGTTCGATTCCGAGGAGAGCGACCGGAACCATGTCGCTGGCGAGCAGTGCATGGACCGCCTCGCCAACAAGCTAGGAGGCGAAACCATCCTGGCGCCCACTTTCAACTGGCTCCCTAGAATGATCACGTCGTTGGCGTGGCGCGACCGCCACGCTGCTCTCATGGCCATTTCAGCCATCTCGGAGGGTTGCCGCGACCTGATGGTCAAGGAGCTCAGTCAAGTTCTCAACCTCGTCGTGCCCGCCCTCAAGGACACCCACCCGCGTGTGAGGTGGGCAGGTTGCCAGGCTCTGGGCCAGATGAGCACCGATTTCGCCCCCACCATGCAGAAGGAGCACTATGACACGGTTCTCAAGGCCATCGTCCCTGTCCTGACTTCGCCTGAACCCCGTGTCAAGGCTCATGCCGCCGCCGCCCTGGTGAACTTCTGCGAGGAGGCCGAGAAGAACATTCTTGTGCCGTACCTGGACGATCTGCTCTCCCAACTCTTCCAACTTCTTCAGAACGACAAGCGTTATGTGCAGGAGCAGGCTCTGTCTACGATCGCGACCATCGCTGATGCTGCCGAGGCGGCCTTCTCGAAATACTACGACACGCTCATGCCCCTGCTTATGAACGTCTTGCAGCGCGAGAACGAAAAGGAGTTCCGCCTGCTGCGGGCCAAGGCCATGGAATGTGCCACCTTGATCGCTCTCGCCGTCGGGAAGGAGCGCCTAGGCAACGACGCCATGAACCTGGTGTCGCTTCTCGCTTCTATCCAGTCCAGCATCACTGACTCGGATGATCCTCAGAGTCAATACCTCATGCACTGCTGGGGTCGTATGTGCCGCGTCATGGGACCTGACTTCCTCCCATTCCTGCCCAACGTCATGCCGCCTCTGGTGGAGCTGGCCAGCGCCAAAGCCGATATCCAGCTTCTCGACGACGAGGACCAGGTCGAGCAATTTCAGCAGGAGGACGGCTGGGAGCTCGTCCCCCTGAAGGGCAAGATGATTGGCATCAAGACCAGCACCATGGACGACAAGCACATGGCCATCGAACTACTTGTTGTCTATGCCCAGACGCTCGAGGCAGCCTTCGCACCGTACGTCAAGGATACCATGGAAAAGATTGCTCTGCCCGGCTTGGCTTTCTTCTTCCACGACCCGGTCCGTTTCATCTCGGCGAAGCTGGTACCTCAGCTCCTCAGCTCCTACAAGAAGAACTTTGGACCTGCGTCCAACGAACTGCGCGAGCTATGGCTGGCCACCGTCGACAAGCTGTTGGAAGTCCTCACAGCCGAGCCGGCGATTGACGCCTTGGCAGAGATGTACCAGTGCTTCTACGAATCGGTCGAGGTAGTTGGCAAGGATTGCCTCTCACAACAGCATATGGAGAAGTTCGTCGACGGCGTCCATTCTGCCATCGAGGATTACAAGGATCGAGTTGCCCAGCGTGAGGAGGACAAGGAGGGCACCACGGCCGAAGAAGCCGAGGACGAGGCTGAGGAGCTGCTTCTCGCCATTGAGGACGACCAGACACTGCTCTCAGACATGAACAAGGCGTATCATGCCATTTTCAAGAACCACGGCGCTGCATTCCTGCGCCCGTGGGAGCGCCTGGTGTCTACCTACGAGAGCTTCCTTAGTTCCTCTGATCCGACTCAGAGGCAGTGGGGCCTGTGCATCATGGATGATGTTCTCGAGTACTGTGGTCCCGAGAGCATCAAATACTACCAATACATCGAGAGGCCCCTGATCGACGGCTGCAAGGACCCGTCTGCAGCTATCCGACAGGCCGCGGCATACGGGATCGGTGTTGCCGCCCACCGCGGCGGTGCTCCTTGGTCACAATTCCTGAACGGCTCCATACCTTACCTGTTCCAGGTGACGCAGGTACCTGACGCCCGCGGCGACGATGCGGTGTATGCCACAGAGAATGCATGCGCAGCGATCGCCAAGATACTCCATTTCAACAGCGGTAGTGTGCAAGACGCGCAGAACGTGGTTGCGCAATGGGTGAATACGCTCCCCGTCACGAACGATGAGGAGGCCGCGCCGTTCGCCTATGGATATCTCGCCACACTAATCAGCCAGTAAGTTGTCCACTTTCCCCCCAAACCCTTGTTCCTTTCCAGAGCCTTGACTTGCACGCCACCACCTGCGTGCCACTGGCAACACGTGCTGACCTTGTACCTTTAGGCAACATCCCGCAGTCATGGGCCAGGCCGACAAGATCTTTGTCTACGTTGCTCAAGCACTCGAGGCCGACATGCTGGGCACGGGTGAGGTAGCGCAGAGGGTGGTGGAAGCCACTAAGGCTCTGATGCAGTCATCCGGCGTCAATGCGCAACAGCTACTGCAGCAGTTCTCTCCCGAGGCTCAGCAGACAATCTTGCGCTACTTCTCGTAAGAAGACACCATTGAAGGCATGTTGGATGACCGGCCTGGGGAAGGGAGATCATGATTAAAAGGTGTTCAGGCTGTGAGGAACCTTTTTTTTTTCTTTACGAAAGGTAGAGAGCGAGCGCAAGATGATATAGTGGGCGCCGCCGTGCTACTGGGGCAGGAAAACGAGGCGCTCGGCCATAGACTGCGGATAAAGAATGTAATGAGTCGATATGGGGCATTCCCAAATGATATCCAGAATTAAAGTAGAGAGAAAAGAGATCCCAAAAAAATTGTTGATAGCCAACAGTTCGAGCACCGTCTTTGTTTGCAGTTCTCAACTCTATTACTGCAGTCCTAGAACCTTTTGTCCGAGCGAAATGGGACTAGGTAGCTGAAATGGACCAGGCGCCTAATCGCAAACTCGTACATGGGTCCATAATATTGACTAACTTTCCCACCGAGCATCAAGCAGGCATATCGAGTCCTATACTCGAATTTTCTTCTTTGAGGCACCACGGCACTCAGCGACAAGTCAGGATCTGGCCATCTCGAGACTAGGGCAACTTTGAATGGGGTTGGGAGCTAGTGGACGCTTGTGGCAATCTTGAAAACCAGAAGAGGAAGGGAAAAAAAAAAAGTGGGCGCGGAAATGGAAGAGTCGTTCGAATGTTCTCCCGGCACATAATCAGCCCAGTCTCTCCCGACGGAAGGGAAAGGGGAGGGGTTTAGGCACATAATAAACACGGGATATGACCAGGTATGTCAGCAGCGCTGGCCCATCTGGTTGGGTGGAAATCAGAGTTAAAGAGGGCCCGACCTTACAGACGGCCGTTCAATTGCCCATGAGGGACGTGATGGGAATTTTGGACAATGCCATGCATCCATGCAGTTTAACGAAATAAACAGGTGCCTTCATTTTCCCTCTTTTTTCTATCTTTCTTGGTTTTCTCTTTCTTTCTTTTTTCTCCCTCTCTTATCTGACCGGTTCAATTAGCAACATATCATCATTATTGCTGTAGTCTTGCTTTTCCGATCTGTCTACCCTAAAGAAAGGAAATACCAGTGCTCCAAAACGGTTGAACCCCCAACCCGGAGACAGTTGACCACGTCGAAAGACATGGATAGTGCACACAGTAGTACCTACTGTTAGTTGTCGTCGGTGTTGTCAACTCCCAGTGAATGATGGGAATCCCTGGTCGGGAACGTGCCCGTCCAGTCCAGCAGCGCCGGGTGGAGGGGGGGTTCCATCAAGTCTTCGTTGACAGTGCCTCCAAGCTGCGTTGCATCACTGTCCGGCAGACTCGCTCACTGATCGCAGTTCCAGCTCCGGTGCTGCTGTATCAGGCCTCCATGCGCTCTACGCAGCGGCGTAGGTTACTGCAGAAAGAAGAATTCCATCAGGAACTTTGAATTAGGTATGTACGCACGGCGTGGTCTGGGCGGGAGAAGGAGGAACAGATGTGTACGGCAACATACTCAACCTGGAGCTGCTTACTGTAGACGATATGTACAGCGATGGCGGCGATCGATACGCACTGTGCGGCCGATCGACATCATCCATTGCCCAGTGCGGTTTAGGGTAGTTGCATGTCCATCCCGTCCATGCCAAGGCCATTCTGTACCCGAGTCGACTTCATGTCATCTGCCAGTCGGTCTTTCTTTCAACCCTACACGAATCCAAGGATACCGCATCACCCAGCTTCGAGCTGCGACAACCGCCCGCGCCCTTCCGACACCAACCCGCTCGCTGCCCAAGGTCCAAGGTTACCGCGGCACCATCGCACCTTTCGTCCCGCCACCACCCGTGCCTCTCGTCGGAGCGTACGCTTTTCTGCGCCCAAGCCGGTGCTACCGTCCGACTAGGCGGCAGAGATCTCGGGCCCCGTCACTCCCTACTCTGCGAGCCTCTGAGTCTACGAGACTTTGCGATCGCGCGCCCTGCCGAAAACGCTTCAGCGCAGGCGTTTTGTGCTTTGCTCCGTGCTACGAGCGAAGAAGACAGGCGCGAGTCGAGTGCCCTTGGCAGGTGGGATCCCTAGCCTAGGTGATATCGCTCGGCAAGGCCACGCCAGACCGCAGCATCAACACCTATCGATGATCGGGACCTTGCCGCCCGGCCCGCAGATGCTGCGATCCCTCCTTGTTACACTATAGAGAGCCCGCCTGCAAACTACGGGATTGCTTAATCCCGACGCTGGCGACTGTCTTCAAATCTCGTCTCCCCGCTACCACTGACATACTCCCGCCGGTTCCCCCCACGTCTGCGCGCACTCCCTCTACGTTCATTCGTTGCAGCAGACAGATGTGGTCGCAATGGATAATTTTTCCGCATTCCAGCTCTCCCCGGAAGAGCTACAGCGCCGCCACGCACGGCAGCGCAGCCAGAGGCGCGCCTCCAACTCCGGGATGAGCCAGCCTCCTCGGCTGTCGCACCAGCAGCAGCAGCATCAGCAACAGCAACAACAGCAGATGCCAACGGCTATGGATACGTCCATGGTGGGTGTCGATAGCCTCGACGATATCATCCAGAACAACCACCAGGAGATGCAGAGACGCCGGAGCCTTCCCCAGGGCCGATACTCGGGCCAGATGGATCAGTCTGAGGTCGACCGCAGGCTCTCCATGCTCGACTATAGCCAGAACAACAACGCTTTCGCCGAGTATCAGTTTGGCATGATGAACTCGCCCAACGACGCCATGAATGGCGGCTTTCCCGACATGAATGCCAATATGACCATGCCTGGCACCTCGGCCAGTTTCTCGCCCCAGACCCTACTCTCTGACGAGTTTCCTGACATGATGGGCAACATGATTGCCCTCCAAAACATGAACATGGGCCACATGGGCAGCGACCCTACGGCCATGAACGCCTTCTCGTCCGGCTTTCCCCGGTCTGCTGCCGACATGTCCAACGACTTTACCATGGACATGACCGGCAATGGCGTACAGATGGGGCCCCAGATGAGTGCGGCGCCAATGACGTCTGGAAATGGCGTGGCCGCGAACAATGCTGACCCGTCAATGATGGGCGTTTCTCAGAGCTATATGCCCACGACCCAGCCGCCCCAGACGCAAACTAACCTCAGCCTCGCCACTGACATGGCCAAGTTCCAGCAGAGCGTCTCACAGCAGATACAGCCGCCGCCCCCGCTGTCGGCACATGCCACAGCGGCTCCGACGCCAAACTATCAGTCTCCCATGACGAGCACAGGGACCCCGACGCCCTTTGGTATGGAGACTAGTGTGCCACCGTCGCAGCTTCCAGCAGCCCTCAGCGCCGCCACTTCGACGGCTGGTCCTATGGCGGCACCGAAGGAACAGAAGGCCATATACTCGAAGAGTGGGTTCGACATGCTTCGAGCCCTCTGGCAGGTGGCAACGCGGAAGAATCCGCAGGTAAACCTCGGCGCCGTAGACATGTCATGCGCCTTTGTTGTTTGCGACGTCACCATGAACGACTGTCCCATTATTTACGCCTCGGACAACTTCCAGAACCTGACTGGTTACAGCCGGCACGAGATCATCGGGCAGAACTGCCGCTTTCTCCAGGCACCGGACGGCAAGGTCGAAGCCGGCACCAAGCGAGAATTCGTCGACAACGGCGCGGTATACAACCTGAAGCAGAAGATCGCCGACTGCAAGGAAGTCCAGCAAAGCCTCATCAACTACAGGAAGGGCGGAAATCCGTTCTTGAATCTGCTGACAATGATTCCTATACCATGGGACACCCCCGAGATCAGATACATCATTGGATTCCAGATCGACCTGGTCGAGTGCCCCGACGCGATATCGTCATCCGAGTCGGGCCCCGGTACTATGAAGCTGAACTACAAACATAGCGACATTGGACAATACATCTGGACACCCCCCGCATCTTCTCGATGGGAACCAGAAACCGGTCAAACACTCGGCGTAGATGACGTGTCGACGTTGCTGCAGCAGTTCACACCCAAGGGAGCCGTGTCAGACTGGCATCGGCAGTCGTGGGACAAGATGCTGCTCGAGAACGCGGACGACGTCGTCCACGTCCTGTCTCTGAAAGGCTTGTTCCTGTACCTGTCCCCGTCCTGCAGGCGCGTGCTGGAGTATGACTCCACCGAACTGGTCGGCAGCTCAATATCGACCATCTGTCACCCATCCGACATTGTTCCCGTGACTCGTGAGTTAAAGGACACCACGACGGGAAGCTCGGTGAATATCGTCTTCCGTATCAGACGAAAACAGAGTGGCTACACGTGGTTCGAGAGCCACGGGTCTCTTTTTGTCGAGGCGGGGAAGGGCAGGAAATGTATTATCCTCGTTGGGCGAAAGCGCCCCGTGTTTGCGCTCCAGCGCCGGCATTTGGAGGCGCATGGTGGCATAGGGGACAGCGAGCTGTGGACAAAACTTTCGACATCGGGCATGTTCCTCTTTGTGTCATCGAACGTGCGGTCACTCCTCGATTTACAACCAGACAACCTCGTGGGTACTAGCATACAGGAACTCATGCGAAAGGAATCGCGAGCCGAGTTCGGGCGCACAATCGAAAAGGCCCGCAGGGGCAGGATCGTGACCTGCAAACATGAGGTCCAAAACCGCCGAGGTCAGGTCCTGCAAGCGCACACAACACTTTATCCCGGAGATGCATCCGAGGGCCAGAAGCCAACTTTTCTGTTGGCTCAAACCAAGTTGATCAAATCGTCGTCACGGTCCATGCCATCTTCAGCTGTCTCGCTGTCGAAGCAAAGCTCGGCCGGTTCTGTTTCGAGCGAATCCAAGTCCATGGCCGGTCTCAGCTCCATGCAAGACCGCCAAACGCCCAACAGTGGCGGCGTCGTGTCTGCAGCAGCCGGCGGCGGCATCCCTCTAGGATCACAAGACCAGGCGCTCGCCTCGGATGATAATATATTTGACGAGCTCAAGACGACAAGGTGCACAAGCTGGCAATACGAGCTGCGCCAGATGGAGAAAGTCAACCGGGTGCTAGCCGAGGAGTTACACGGCCTCCTCTCGAACAAGAAGAAACGCAAGCGTAGAAAAGGAGTCGGCAACGTTGTCCGTGACTGCGCAAATTGCCACACCCGCAATACACCGGAATGGCGAAGGGGTCCGAGTGGACAACGAGATCTGTGCAACAGCTGCGGTCTTAGGTGGGCGAAGCAGGTAAGTGTCATTGCCGTTTGTCTTCTCTTCGTCTCTCTCTCTCTCTCTCTCTCTCTATCTTTTCTCTTTTCTTTTTCTCGCGCGCGCGCGCCTGGTATGGGCCCTTAGCTCACTGCGTCATGACAGACTGGCAGGGTTTCTCCCCGAACCTCGTCACGCGGCGGCAACGATGCGGCAAGCAAGAAATCCACATCGCCTGTGCACTCATCCCCGCTTCAGAGAGAGGTACCCGCGAGCGGAAACAACACCAACACCACTGCCGCTACTACGACCGCCACCAATAACAACAACTACAACAGTATCAACGACCAGACATCGGAGACTGACTCTGTGGCTACTGCTAACCGGTCTGTAAGCTCCAGCGTGGGCCAGAACACAAGTGCCGGCACGACACCAATTGCTTCGAAACCGCCACTTAGCCAGCCCTTGCTTGAGGGCGGTGCCGAAGGTGGTCAGATGGCCTCCATTCAAGAAGAGCGCGAGGCGAGTGCGTGAGGGTTTGCATGCAAACCCTCGTCGTTTATTACCACTTTTAGGTTGTGATTTTACGGGTTCTGCGACTTTCCACTTGGCATCAAGATACCACACCATTTTCTTCGTTCATACTTGTTTGGGAGGTTCCTTCGATTTTGAGAGCTACGCGATTTCATGATTCAATAGACATGCGAGACCAGGTCTGTGTATGAGAGAATTTTGCCCTCGACGGGCCGCTTTGGGCGACGGTCACTCAGTGCATCGACGTGGGGTTAACTTGGCCTCTTTACGCCACTTCGTCAAGGGAGGTTGCGATTCTCTAAGTCTCTAAGAACTATACTACCTCGGTGCGGGTCCAAGTTCCACAAGACGGGCACTGAAGGAAACAAACTTTGTGACGGCCGGTTTTCGCCGGCGGGCTATTGCTTTTGGCCAAGGGAAACACCCTTCTGGCTAGCTGTTATATTTTCTCAAATTAGCTTTTTGATATGCCGAGACGACGTACACGAATATAACGGTCTACTTTTATTGGGTTGACACTAGACTCCTCATAAGCCCACACTGTAAAATATTTTTACTCTGAGCAAGCAATGTATCAATCATGGCGAACTGAAGATGAATGAGTAGGGGAGGAGTGGCTAGTGTCTTGCGCTGGGGAGGTTCAGCCCTGTCTCGCTCTGCCCCGCTTGGAATTCGTCAAAGGGGCCTTTCTGCTTCGGCTGTTGCCAAGAGATTGAAGGAGAAAAATAGCTTCCGGTAGAGTGAGGTTACCTGGCATAAGGACCTATGCTCCTCGTTGCACTACTCATCTAGGAGTTGGACGCCCGTTCTGGGCTCAAGTAAAGTTAACAGAGCAGATGTCAGTTCCATTTGGGTAATCCTTCGGGATAGGTCAAAGCCCGCGTGCCCCCAACAGAGTGCGGTTGGCTCTGATATTACGTCTTTCTCTCATTCCCTATGGGGAGCTTTTACTTCTATGATGAAAGCACTCTGTGAATTGACCATATCATGTATTTTCTGGCATGTGGGCGTGTAAATACTGATTGGCGACTTGGTAGATATGTATCATAAAGTCCCCCGCAAACACTGCCATCATCCTTTAGTTAGCCGCCCGTGTCCTTATGGCTGTTTAGGTTCGGGCAGTGGCATCTGAAATGCGGTTCTATGCGAGTTCATTCGAAACCATCGGCCCCAGCCGGATGGAGACTGCATTATGATTTGCCAGAGAGTAAGTAGACGGCTGGTATCGAGGTCTGACTTCGGTGATGGCAGGTACGGAGAACCACAACGCAACCCAATCCAACCCCCCCTCCTCCTCCTCCCCAGCAGCAAGGCGACGTTGGCAGCGTCGCATCACGCTCGCTGTGGGTAGGGCCTCGAATCACCACGCTTGTTTGACAGCAGTAGCAAAGGGACCTGACAACACTGATGACTCGCTTCAACTTTCCTCACCAACATCCACTCTCGATGAAACGAGTCGGATCCGGCCTTTGTTTTCTTAAGTCAATATCCATGGATCGACTGACACGTCCAATCTTTAGCAAGGAGGTCTGCGGCGAGGCTTACCGGACCCCCCTTGCCTCTTTAGTATCAACTGTCTCCTCCCAAGGGGAGAGGGTGGGGTTTGTTCCGGTGACTGAGAGTCCTAGCATGGACATGGGTACTAGTTACTCTGCAGAGTCTCTCTGATGGAGGCAGTCCAAGCTACCTGTCTTTTCTCAGCCAGCTGCGTTGATAGGTGTGGGTGCAAAAGGCAAGACAGAAACTTCGAGTGTACTCCATACGTTATAGCCGGCATGATATCTGAACAGGGAAAACTAGAACCTGGCTTATCCTGATTGAGTATCATTCTGGTGCATACTACTACTACTCTAGTAATTCAGTCTGATCAGCCCTAATGGGTGGTGCGCATTTTCGATACCCCTCCAAAGCTCATCACTGTAGTGGTGGCGCAAAAGAAGCCAGGGGGTTAAACGCGTAACCCTCCGTGATGGATAGGGGTCACTCATCAGCAGCTCGATAAACATAGCATACGTCTCAGTTTGCAAGAAATGCATACTCCTTTTAAAACACTATCTCCTTGGCTCTGAAGCCCCAAGACTGTCTACCGGCACCTCGTATTGTGTTTACGATGATACACTCCACCACGGGGCAGGAATCCTACCCTTGACTCTCTTTCCAAGGGTCACACTTCGCTACATGCGGTAATCCTAAGTTAGGAAAGGCCTAGCCGCCGAAATTTTAAGGCCCTCGATGGAACGGGTAAGATTGGGCGAGTTTTTTTCTGGGGGGCTCGGTTATATCTTTTGCTGGTCGGGAAGACTGCCATGCGTTTTCTGATTTTCCTCAGTCTAATTTTCCCTTCGTCAGCTTAGTTGTGCATGGTATTTGGCACCAACACTATCACACGCTATACATTACATGGCCGCGCTACTGCTACTCTCCCTACTCTCCAGGTGCTTGTTGCATGAATTATCGCTGGGCAATTGCGCACCCATTCAATCAACCCTCTGGTCCGGCAGCATACCCGAGCACAGCCCGCGATCTGGTGCGCTTTGATCCTGGCTAAGTACATGGCGACAGCTGAACCCTTGTCGTTTCTTCCTTTCCATATTTCCCCATTGAGAAGTCGTGACAGCGCTTGATGTAACACATTCTCAGTTATATTCTGAGATATTCTGAGAAGGCTTCCACTCGCAGGCGCTAAGGCAGATTGCTAAGGCGTTTTTGCACCTGCATAGTCACTGGGTAGTATTGAGTGGGATGCAGATCTTAGCAGGCAGACAGTCATCTGGGGCACCATCCGAAAACAATTTTCTGGCTGCAGGGGGATGGATCTAACATGAGCTTCGCTGTAAGATTCTACCCGAGCTCTGGCTGGCTATGCTGTCAGAGGTCGGCAGTTCTATCGGACGACACCCACCGATCTCTCATCATTCGAACGTTCCGCCAACCGTCGACACGCACTTAGGGAGAACTTCACGAAACCCTGTAAGGTGCGGAGCAAGGATGATTGAACTTGGGGCTCGGCTTTCAGAGACCTGAACCCAGCCATATCATGGTGAGCCGAGTGGGCAATACATGAGAGCCCAAGCAGTTGCTGGCATCCCCTAGGAAATTCACGGTAACCACAGTGAGCGGACAGCTCAGGAAGAGTCTTCTCAACACCCACAGCCCAGATGACAGGGCCAGGGCGTAGCTGAAAATCGTCGATAGCTTCGGATTTAATACATCAATATCGTCGGCCGTCACATGCTAAGGAATTGTCTCCCGGTGCAGTATGTGACTGCCAGGAATGAGCAGCCCAATATGAGTATCAAGTGGGGGAGACAAGACACCCTTGCACAATACATCAAACAATGACCACGCCCTGGAATGCAGTGACTATGGGGAGAGCACAAGCCCCGGCCTTGACCAGCACGTAAAACTGACTGACTGTAGATGAATGGTACTGCGTACAAATCTTCAAGGGTGACAGTAGAACATGCTGTAGATCTGCAACTAGGTATATCCTAAAAATAGAAACAAGGAAATGGAAGCTTAGACAGTGTCTTGTGTCGTGGGGTGTTAAGGGGGGAAGCGGGGGGGGGGGGGGGGGGGGGGG